CTCCCTTACAACACGCTATCAGTAATTCTTTTCCTATTTTGTAAACAATAAGCACACAGAGGTGGAACTAGGAAAGGTTACTTGGATGCTGCCTAATAAGATGAGGGATTCCTGTTGGCAGCTTATAGCAACGATAGATGCTTCTTATGCTGTTGCAGGATGCAGCATGTCTCTGCAGTAACAGGCTGGCAGAGACACAAATAACTGCTTTTGCTTTATTTGTAATTGTTGCTGACTGTTTGCCAAGTTCCTCTCTATACTCCCCCCAAAATAAATATTTATACACACATAAATGGATTTTCTAAGCACATGTAGTGATAAAGAGAGAGAATATTTTAAAACATACAAATGAGCCTCAGTGTATGATTTAAAGAAGACCCACAATGTATGATTTAAAGAAGAAAGTCTGAGAAATGGAATTATGGGCATATTAGGAAAAAGAAGTGGTTTACTTTATATGGCATGGTAATAAACCTGAAGTATAAATCAAAATGACCCCCTACTTTTTCTGTTTAATTTCCAGAGTTATATCTCCTTTAATCTGCTTCTGCCTTTATAATAGCATTCCTTTTTGTATGATTTATATAAAGATAAATGAAGGGTTTAATTCACCAGACTTGTGGTATCTGTACTGTCAGCAATTTCAAATAGTGCTACACTTCTCTTAAAACACTGTACTGGTTCTGGCTGGGATGGAGTTAACTTTCCCTGCAGCAGCCCATACAGTGCTGTACTCTGCACATGTAGCTAGAACAGAACAGAATTGGTATCACACCAGTGTGGTGTCTACTGCTGAGCAATACTGGCACAGCATCAGGACGCCCTCTAACCCCCCCAAGAGCCAGCAGACTGTGGGTGGGCAAGAGATGGGGCAGGAACATCACCAGGGCAGCTGACCTAAACCAACCAAAGGTATATTCCATGCCATGTGACGTCACAGGCAGTAATAAAAGGTGGAGAAAGAAAGGAGAGGGGAGAAGTGGGCTATCATGAAAATATCTGTCTTTCTGAACAACAATGCTAGGCACATTGAGGCCCTGCTTCAAGGACGTGGTAGTCAAATATTGCTCACTGGTGGGAAGTAGAGCTATTTTTTCCCTCTGTGCTTGCACACAGCCTTTTTTTCATTTTTCCCCTTTCCCCCTTTTCCTTTACTCTTTAGTTAAATTATTTAATTAATAATATTTTCCCCTTAATAATTATTTTTCCTTTAATTACATTATCCTTATCTCAACCCATGAATTGTTTTTTTGTTTTTTTTTTCCCCTTTTCTTCTTCCACCTCCTCAGAAGAGGAGGGGGAGTGAGAGCACAGTTGTGGTAGAGTTCAGCTGCCTAGCAAGGTAAAACCACCACAAACACTCTTCATCACTTTTGTTATGGCCTTGTGAAACAAATCTTAGTCTTTAACCAGCTTTAGGACAGATGAGATCCTCGGCATTTTGCAGACACAGAAAATACTCTGGAAGTGATTGAAGACTCTTAGACAGCAATATAGCTGGTACATCTCAACCTGACAAGTATTGATACTAGCAGGATTTCAAAACAAATCAGTCCATTTTATCTCTTGGCTTTCTACAAAGAGCATAAATACACTTTTAGTGACACCTTTAAAGGATGAATGTTCCTCACACCACTTAGTAACTCTCTGCTGGTGATGTACCTTACATCTTCTGAAGCAAGCAGAACAAAATACTTACATAATATAAAGGAATCCAAGAAGAGAACTTATGTTCCATTTCCTTTTATTAGATGAAATCAAAACCACTCATCTTTTCCATAACCAAATTGCTACTAAGACATCTAGAAGCAAAGTTCTAAAAAGTGGGCTAAGCCACAAATACTGAAGTTTTGGTTTTGGTGTTTTATTTATTTATTTATTTTTCAATGTTTGCAAAATAAATAATGATATCTTTAAAACTCTGGGCTATAGTAGGATGGCTGAAATTATAATTAAGTCCACATAACCAGCATTTTCTATCTCATCCATTTTGAACCTTCAAATGCAGTTAGCCAACTAGGAACAGCTGTCATGACGGATAGAAATCTGACCACTTGGATCTTGACCACAATGTTTGCATTAGCTTCCATCCATAAACATTCCTAGTGCACAGCCAAACTTTACTCACTATTACTACTTCCAAGCTTGCCCCTTCAACTGTCTATTCAATGGACCTATGCAGACCTGAAGTGGCAGAAGCTGACCTGAGCAGGTTTGAGATTTTACACTCTTCTATAATCCCCATTTCTGAAGGCTCTCCCAGCATGCATGCAAACCAACCATATACCATGAGAGTCCAAGTACTTCAGTTAAGCTCCTGAACTAGCTATATCTCCAAACTTATATATCTATATATGCAAATATATATATATATATACACATGCATACATGGCAACAGATCCAGAGGAGCAGACTCATCTGCTTCCTAGTACCCTGCTATATGTTGATTTATGGGATTGTAAAGTTTTCCCATCATTTCAGCTGCCTACAGAAAGTTTTCTATGGAGAGTATTCAGTACGCCTGTGTCGGGGTTCTGCTCAAGTGGGCAGCCGAGCTCCACCACAGCCGCTCTCTCACTCCCCCTCCTCAAAGAGGAATGGGGAGAAAATATGTGAAAAGGACTCAAGGATTGAGATAAGGACGAGAAAATCACGCAATAATTATTGTAACGGGCAAAACAGACTCAGCATAAGATAGTAAGATTTATTGCTCATTACTAACAAGCTAGACAAGTGAGAAACAAAGGAAAGAAACCAAAAGCACCTTCCCCCCCATTCACCCTCTTCCACCTCCTCCCCCCGAGCGGCACAGGGGAACGGGGGAATGGGGGTTATGGTCAGTCTACAGCACTTCTTCTCTGCTGCTCCTTCTTGGTCACTCTCGTCCCCTGTGCTGTGGGGTCCCACCCACAGGATGCAGTCCTTGACGAACTGATCCGGTGTGGGCTTCCCACAGGCAGCAGCTCTTCCAGAACTGCTCCAGATATGGGTCCGTACCACGGGGTCCATCCCTCGGGAGAAAACTGCTCCAACCTGGCTCCCCTACGGGCAGCAGCTCCTGCTAGGTCACCTGCTCCTGCGTGGGCTCCTCTCCACGGGCTACAGGTCCGGCCCGGAATCTGCTCCGGCAGGGGTCTTCCACAGGCGGCAGCCTCCGTCGGTGCAGGGCCACCTGCTCCACCGTGGTCTCCTCCACGGGCTGCAGCATGGAACCCTGCTCCACCATGGTACTCCATGGGCTGCAGGGGGACAGCCTGCTTCACCATGGTCCTTACCACAGGCCGCAGGGGACTTCTGCTCCGGCGCCTGGAGCACCTCTCCCCCTCCTTCTACACTGACCTTGGCACCTGCAAGGCTGTTTCTCACTCCCTTGACTCTCCCGGCTGCTGTGTGGTGCAGCGTTTTTTCCCTGTCTTAAATATGCTCTCACAGAGGCGCAAAACAACGTTGCTTATTGGCTCAGATCTGGAAAACAATGGGGCCCTTCCCAAACATGGGGCGGCTTCTAGATCTTTCTCACAGAAACCACCCCTATGGCTCCCTGCTACCAAAACCTTGCCACGTAAACCCACTACAGACTGCAAGTAGCAGAAACCAGCCAGTTCCAAGTTAGCCAAGGAGACATGAAAGTTTTGCTGCTCCTGATTCAAGACACCCTTCACACTCTTAAATTAAAATACTGGGCATGCATGGCAACTTCCCTGAAAACAATGGAATTTATAAGGAAGCTAGACAGCATCATACTGAACACTGAAGAAAAGCCAGTCATCACAGTTTGTAGAGAGAGCAGTAAGAGAGAACTGATAAAATACTAATACTACAGGCGCACTTAAAATACTTAGAAGTAAAGAACCAGAAGAACCACAATAACATTCTCCAAACTGTATATGGCACCACACTTGACACCAAACAGGCAGGCAGAATCTCAGCAGGAAATGAAGAATTTAGTATTCTAGACTAAAACGTTCTAGGAAAAAAAAAGGAGGGGGGGGGGTGTCTTGCACACAGCTGGTGCAAAGAATGATGAAAATCCAAACAAAACCCAGTTAGTCTGATAAATCCCAAAACAGAACACGATCTGTTAAAAAAAAAATAAAAGTACAACTGATGAAAATTTTTAAACAGGCTAATGCACAAAATGTGTATCTGGTAGGGGAAAAAAAGGCCATTACGCTGTATTTTCTTCTGGGATAAAATGGTATCTTACGTAGATCAAGCTAAGGTAATTATCTTCTAAAACCTACTGAAAACTTTTCATGATTGACTCAACTCTAGCTGTTTTTGCAGATAGCTAGTAAAGCCAGATGTTTCTCTCTCTCTATATATATAAATTATTCTCAGTAATTAAGATGTTTTAAGTACTTCAGCAAAGCAGTGGATAAAGAAAAAAACAAAAGTTTTAAAACATCACTTCCTTTTAAAACATTCTAAATTTCCCACATGAAAAATTCATTTCTAAGAACAGTTTTGAATGATTTGTAAACCAAAATAAAAGGACAAGAATTTCTTTTCCTGTACACAAGACATCCTTATGCCTCTGAGAATGTGTGTACGCCTATCTATACGCATACAAAGACGTTAAAAAGGCCGTTGAACGTACGTATAGAACCCAAAACAAAGAAAGCATTGCCTTATCGAGGGCCGGCAGGTTCACCCACAGACCTCATTCGGATGAGTTCTTCATAGATCTTCTGTTTCTTGGTTTATTTTAGACAGATCTCTGAAGGCGTTTTGTCTGTGTTCCCATGTTTGAGTCACCACCAAGCCGGGCAGGCCGCTGCCGAACAACGGAGAAAACACGCAGCTCGCCCGCCCCTCTCAGGCTGGCGGCGCCAGCCCTAGCCGGTGCGGCTGCCCCCAAGAAGCACGGCTGCAGGGCCCGGCACCGCCGCGCCCGGGGCCCGCCCACAGCCCGCGCTGCCGGAGCGGCGGCGCTTCCCGGCCCCACCCCGCCGGCCGAGATCCCGCAGTTCTCGGCCGCTCCCGAGACAGGTAGTTACCAGAGAACTCTCAGAGGCGCCGGGCACCAGCAGCAACCAGAGGTGAAGCTGTCGGGCGCACCCGAGAAGGGCATCAGCGCGCTTCCCGCCGCGGCGCCCCCGCGCTCCCGTCGGTTTCGGATCTTCCCCGCTAACGCAGACCAGGCGAGCGCACGGGGGCGGAGGCCGCCGGCGAAGGTTGCGCTGCGGCCCAGCGCCGCGGCAGCCCGCGTCCCCTCCGCCGCACGCCATGGCGCAGGCCGCGGAGCCCGGGTCCTAGAGCCCGCGGGTCCACGGCGCGGGCCGCAGAGAGGGCGCTGGCGTTGTTCACTAGGCAGCTCGAGCGAGGGGCGCGGAGCCCTGCTTCGGTCATTGTGCCGGCCAGGGTCAGTGCCTCAGTAGCTCGGTCCCTCCAGTGTCGCGTTTTTAAGAGACTGTCGTTCTCATCCTGTTTTGGCTGGACACAGCTTTATGAGCGGTCTGAAGGTGCCCACAAATTTTGCATGCTGTGGCAGTGTTCTCTTTGAAGGAAGGACTAGGGCTGCACTTAATGCAGAAGCGTTAGTGGAGAAGGAGTGACAGACAGCTGGGGACAGACAGCTGGGGTGGGCTGTCTTCCTGGCTCTCCGATGGATGAGAGGCACTTTTCTGATGACGGTATGCTGAACACAGAGCTCAGGCACTGTGATAGCTGGTTGCTTCACATTCCTTCTGCCTGTGATGAGTGAGAGGGTGGTTAAGTGAGGGGACTGCTTGTTCCTCCTTTCTGTGTTGGGTGTGTGCATTGTCATGCCAAGTAGGGCAGTCACTTAGCATTGCAGTCTCAGTCTGTGCCAGTTTCTGAGGACTGTCATCTACAGAGGGCTGGAGTTAGCTGGGCACCTAAGTGAAACTGTCAGACTTGCAGGGCTACTTGACATCCTGGTAATGAAACAGACCCAGAGAAGGTGACCAAAGTAGCATAGCCAGCCTTAATTTTGCAGCAACTATTACTTACTGCAGACTAGGGCACAGTTCTGGGGGGGTTGTGCCTGGCCATTTGTTAACTGTTCAGTCCTCTGCAGATGCTGAGGTGTAGCCTGACAGTTGAAGGAGTGTCACAGGTGGGAGCTCTGCAGAGATCTGGGGCCAACAAATTATTGTCAGGTATTTAAAGTTTGTAGATTATGTTAAATTGTAAACCCCGATGCCTGATCAGTAAATGAGTAAACTATAAAACCAGACAAATACTGAGTCTCACCCAATAAATTAATAAACTATAACCCCTGAGTAAGAAACCCTCAACTACGACCAATGTAAACTATAATTGAAAGACACTGAACCCTCAGTTTTACAAAATACAAGCACATATGAGGAGGAAAACTGCAGTGCCACCAAGCTCTCTTCTGTGACCCGATAACCAAAATTCCATACTGCCAGGTCTGTCCTGTCCTCTTTTTTTCTCTCTCTATGTCCCGCTCCTGTGCCATTTTTTCTCTATTCTTCTTTCCTTCTTCCTGTCTTTTTTCTCTCTTTCCCTCTGCCCTGCTCACTGTCCCTGGTTTATTTTTTATATAGGCTACTGTCCCTGTCTTTCTTCCCACTCATTTCTTGTTCTCTTAATTCCTGTCCCAATCCGTGTCCCTCTGTTTCTCTTTGATTCTCTGCCCTTTCTTGCTCTCTATTCCTTCCTATGTCCTGCTCCCAGTTCCCCTTTTGCTCTTCATACCTCTGTCCTGCTTCCTGTCCCTGTTTTTTCTTCCTCCATCTGTCCTGCCACCCATCACTGTTTTTCCTCCTCCATTCCTTTTGTGGGGTAAAGTTGCCATTCCCGAAGAGAAAGAGAGCTCCATACAGCCAGCGCCTGGGGAGCAGCCCCTCCCTCCCCGCCAGCAGGATGGGAGAGCCTCAGGCCGGCCCCAAGGGGCTGCAAAGAAGCCAGAGACCTCAATATGCCAACAGGAGCTTCCCAGGAGGCAAAGGCCAAGAGACGTAACACATGCTGATGACAGGGGGCCATGCTGGCCAGGCCAACGGCAGTCAGAAAGCTGCTGGGGCTGCAGGAGCGGGGAAACAGACCTCCCCTGCTTACAGGGAGGCCTTGGGGTCTGGCGAGCTCCATCCCCCTTTTGGGTACGGAGATGCTGCCTCTCGCCCTGCCTACACGAGGGCCGCATTCTCTGGGCAGCCAGAGGAGCAACGGGCCAAAAGGCCAAAAAAATCGCAAAGACCCAGCCCTGCTTACAGGGACAAACACAAACCAGCTATGCTCTCACGTGACTGCAGCCCTGGTGACAAGGGGTTCCCTTTGCCCTGGATGCCTTTCTTGTGCCACCTCATCAGTCCTCTGCTCCTCTTGCTGCACAGCTCCACACCAAGACTCTTCTTTCTTCCTCCTCCACCATCGGATGCTGCAAAAAGGAAGGATGACGCCGTGAGACAGGACAAAAGCCAGCTCCTGCAGCTGAAGGATATGGGGATGCCTGCTGTGTCCATTTGTCCTCTTGTTACCACAGTTTTTCCCTGCAAAAATGCTTAGTTTGTCCCCTTCAAGGTACCTCAGATTTTAACCCATAATGGTAATTTTATAGCGTTACTGTAGATTTTCCCTCACAAAATGCTTCACTTGTCCCCTTCAATTTACCTCAGATTTTAATCCATAAATGCAGTTTTATATCCTCTAATGTTACCACAGATTTTCCTTCACAAAAGGCTCCATTTCTCCCCTTCTAGGTACCTCAGATTTTAACCTATAAATGTATTTGTAGTTTTATATCCTCTAATGTTACCACAGGCTTTCCCTGCAAAAAATGATAATTCTCCCCTCTAGGTTTCATTAGATTCCACCCTCTAATGGTGTCATTCTCCACCTACTGAAGTTACCTCAGATTTTATCCCCAAGATATCATTTTATATCCACAAACGTTACCACAGAATTTCCCTCACAAAATGCTCCATTTGTCCCCTTCATGTTACCTCAGATTTTAATCCATAAATATAGTTTCTTATCCTGTAATGCTATCACAGAATTTCCCTCACAAAACAGTAAATTTTCCCCTAGGTTTCATTAGCTTCTCTCCCTCCCCATTGTCATTCTTCATGCTCCTCAATTCCTGGGACAGGGAAAGTCTCTGGCGGGAGTGGCGGAACCGCGGGGCAGGGGTGCAGGGTTGGCCACCAGACAGGGGAGCAGGTCAGAAAGGTCGGGGCTGGCTCCGGGGCGTCCATAGGGTCAGGTGCTGTGAGCACCGTGCCCTGCGGCATACCGGGAGTTGTGCTCTTTGGGCTCCAGGCTTCCGGTAGGCCAAATTGCTTTCCGGGGCACGCCGGGAAATGCAGTTTCAAGTTGCCACTCAGCTTCCAAGCCCGTAGTGGCACATGGGAAGTTTGGAACGGCAGTTTCTTCCTCCACGTCAGTAAAGCGGGGTGCCTTTTCTTGCCGTTTTCGTGCCGTGTTCCGCCTGGTTCCCGCTGCTTCCCTTTATGAGCAGACGGTTTTGGAAGCCGTGGCTGCAGATCTGCTTCCGCGCATGAGCGGAGAAGGCTGGGTCGGAACGGGCAGCGGGGCGGTGTCGGGTGGCACCTTCTGGCCGAACAGCGGTACTGCAGGCGGAGAGGCGTCACAGCGGCAACTCATTCTCTGCTCCTACCCGCTGGACAAAAATTGGTATTGCAGACGGAGATGCGTAGCACATGCGCAGTAGCTGCTCCTGGCACTCTGCTCCCACCTGCTGGTGACGAATCACTACTGCAAGAGGAGAGGCTCCGCGCATGCGCTATAGCCGTGGCCTGGCCTCGAGCCCCGCAGAATGCCGGGAGTCGTGGTCTTTAGGCTCCGGGGCTCAGGACTCCCGGTCGGCCATGTTGGCACGCGCGGAATGCCGCGAAATGTAGTTTTGCGTTGCCGATCGGCTTACATGCCAGAAAGAGCACATTGCTCAGAATAGTTATTTCCTTCCAGAGAGGAGCGTGGGGTGCATTTTTCTGCCGTTTGCACGTGTGACTTTCCACATGTTTCCCCACTCTTTCCACTTATTCCGGGAGTCCATGTTGGGTTCCCAGAGCATGCCGGGAGATGAAGTTCTTGGACTCTGGACATCCGGGAGGCCATGTTGAATGCCCAGAGCATACCGGGAAATATAGTTCTCGGAGTCTGGACTTCCGGGAGGCCATGTTGGGTGCCCAGAGCATAAAGGGAAATGTAGTTCTCGGACTCCGGACTTCCGGGAGGCCATGTTGAATGCCCAGAGCATACCGGGAAATGTAGTTCTCGGACTCCGGACTTCCGGGAGGCCATGTTGAATGCCCAGAGCATACCGGGAAATGTAGTTCTCGGACTCTGGACTTCCGGGAGGCCATGTTGAATGCCCAGAGCATACCGGGAAATGTAGTTCTCGGACTCTGGACTTCCGGGAGGCCATGTTGAATGCCCAGAGCATACCGGGAAATGTAGTTCTCGGACTCTGGACTTCCGGGAGGCCATGTTGAATGCCCAGAGCATACCGGGAAATGTAGTTCTCGGACTCCGGACTTCCGGGAGGCCATGTTGAATGCCCAGAGCATACCGGGAAATGTAGTTCTCAGACTCTGGACTTCCGGGAGGCCATGTTGAATGCCCAGAGCATACCGGGAAATGTAGTTCTCGGACTCCGGACTTCCGGGAGGCCATGTTGGGTGCCCAGAGCATACCGGGAAATGTAGTAGGGAAATTTTAGCGCGGCGCCGCCCGGGCACATTTCGGCGCGGCCCCGCCCGGACACATTTCGGCGCGGCGCCGCCCGGGCACATTTAAGCGCGACGCCGCCCGGGCACATTTAAGCGCGACGCCGCCCGGACACATTTAGCGCGGCGCCGCCCGGACACATTTAAGCGCGACGCCGCCCGGACACATTTAGCGCGGCGCCGCCCGGACACATTTAGCGCGGCGCCGCCCGGACACTTTTTAGCGCGGCGCCGCCCGGACACATTTAAGCGCGGAGCCGCCCGGACACATTTTAGCGCGACGCCGCCCGGGCATATTTAAGCGCGACGCCGCCCGGGCACATTTAAGCGCGGCGCCGCCCGGACACATTTTAGCGCGGAGCCGCGCGGACACATTTAAGCGCGGCGCCGCCCGGACACATTTTAGCGCGGCGCCGCCCGGACACATTTAAGCGCGGCGCCGCCCGGACACATTTTAGCGCGGCGCCGCCCGGACACATTTTAGCGCGACGCCGCCCGGGCATATTTAAGCGCGACGCCGCCCGGGCACATTTAAGCGCGACATGCTGGCACATTTAAGGTGCTGACATGCCCCCCCCCGCAGCCCCCCAGGCATCCTGGCCCTGCAGCTGCCCCCGGGGGGGCTCGATGCCAAGTCCTACAGGTGAGAACCAGTCCCCTCCGCCCCCTAAATGCGCCCCCAGCCCCCCAAATGCCCCCAGACCCCCCCCAAATTGACCCCCCCCCATTTATTCCCCCCCCCTCAGCGCCTGCCTCCACCTGGCCGAGATGCAGCGCCGGGTGCGGGAGGCGTTAGCGGAGCAAGAGCGGCTCCTGCGGGCACAGGTAGGACGGGGGGGGAGACAAAATGGAGGGGGGGCACCAAGGGGGGGGGTCCATGGGGCTTGGGGGGACCCCAAGGGTGGGGGGGAACCAAAATGAAGGGGGAACCAAGTTAGAGGGTTAGGGTTAGGGTTAGATCCGTTAGGGTTGGGGGGTCGGGGGTTAGGGTTGGGGGGTTAGGGTTAGAGGGTTAGGGTTAGGGTTAGATCGGTTGGGGGGCCGGGGGTTAGGGTTAGAGAGTTAGGGGGTTGGGGGGTTAGGGTTAGAGAGTTAGGGTTAGGGTTAGATCCGTTAGGGTTAGGGGGTTATGGGCCCGGACACATTTTAGCGCGGAGCCGCCTGGACACATTTTAGCGTGGCTGAGCGGCATTTGCGGGGCGCACCGGGGGGGGGGTCCATGGGGCTAGGGGGGACACCAACGGGGGGAGGGGGGGGGGGGGAGGGGGAACCAAAATGAGGGGGGAAACAAGTGTGCGTGGTGCTGTTTCCGGGGGGACACATTTGCGAGGCGCACCGGGGGGGGGGAACCAAAATGAGGGGGGAAACCAGTGTGCGGGGTGCTGTTTCCGGGGGGACGCATTTGCGGGGCGCACCGGGGGGGGGGGGACCAAAATGAGGGGGGAACCAAGTGTGCGGGGTGCGGTTGCCGGGGGGACGCATTTGCGGGGCGCACCGGGGGGGGGGGAACCAAAATGAGGGGGGAACCAAGTGTGCGGGGTGCGTTTGCCGGGGGGACGCATTTGCGGGGCGCACCGGGGGGGGGGGGAACCAAAATGAGGGGGGAACCAAGTGTGCGGGCTGCGGTTGCCGGGGGGACGCATTTGAGGGGCGCACCGGGGGGGGGTGGAACCAAAGTGAGGGGGGAACCAAGTGTGCGGGGTGCGGTTGCCGGGGGGACGCATTTGAGGGGCGCACCGGGGGGGGGAACCAAAATGAGGGGGGAACCAAGTGTGCGGGGTGCGGTTGCCGGGGGGACGCATTTGCGGGCCGCACCGGGGGGGTCCATGGGGCTTGGGGGGAACCCAAGGGAGGGGGGGGGGGGGGGGAACCAAAATGAGGGGGGAACCAAGTGTGCGGGGTGCGGTTGCCAGTGGGTTAGGGTTAGGGTTAGGGTTTTGGTTTAGGGTTAGGGTTCGTTAGGGTTAGGGCTAGGGTTATCGTTAGGGGGTTAGGGGTAGTGTTAGGGGGGTAGGGTTAGGGTTAGGGGTTAGGGTTCGGGGTAGTGTTAGGGTTTGGGCTTAGGGTTTGGGTTAGGGTTAGGGTTATGGTCAGGGCGTTAGGTTTAGGGTTAGGGTTAAGGTTAGCGTTAGGGTTAGGGATAGGGTTAGGCTCAGGGTTCATTAGGGTTAGGGTTAGGGCTTAGGGGTCCATTTAAGCGCTGTGCGTGCATGTCTTTTTGGCATTTGTGGAGCTCGGTTGTTTTTTTTTTTTTTGTGTGTGTGTATGTTCTAAATTTTTTTTTTTTTTTTTTTTTGAGGGGTGAATAGTGTGTGTGCTGAGCGTGGTTGGCAGGTGGATGTGGGGAGCTGCTCAGGACTGGTAGGTTTGGTTTCTAGGAGTGTGCGGCATCCTTCCTGTGTGATGCGACTGATTGTTGGGCGGGCATGTTCCAGCTGGTGTGTCTTAAGCAATGTAGCTTGTGTAGTGTGTGTTGTGTGGCCCGGGTGGAGCTTGCTGTGGTGCTGTGAGTGAACAATCTCAGTTAGAGCTGGTGAGCAGCTGAAGTACCGGAGCTGGGAAGAGAGAGGTATTGCAGCAGGTACGCTGCGGCTGTGAGGTGCCTCAGAGTGTGCTTTTCTCCTGTCTTTGCAGTTACTTTGTGCAGTTGTGGAGAGGGAAGGGAAATCCTCATGTCATGAAGCACTGAGGGAAGGTGAGTGTTGTCAGCCTGGTCATCCCTTATCCGAAGCGAAGGGAAGGTTGTTTGATGTTTGATTGTTTTGGCGTATGATCTCTTCTGCTCCTAGATCTTTTTTCTACGTAAAAAAAAGAAAAAACAAAAATAAATGTTTGAGTTATTTGCAGTTAAGAAAGTTCCAGTTAATTGCAGGGTCGTATTGTCCATTTAATATTAAAAGCTGCAGCAAAAGCATGGGTATTGTTTCTTCTACGTACTCCCCAGTTCTCTTGTGTGCAGTCTGCATGCTGTTGAGCTAAAGCAGATTTCAAAAAAAAAAACACCAAACAATAAACACACACGAACAATAAAATTCTACCAATGGGTGATGTGTTGTGAATGCAATGATCATTTAATCCCTTTATTTTCCCAGGTGGAGTGGATGATACTGGCTGCACTGTTGGAGCTTGGACTCAGAGAGGAACACGTGAGCACAATCGTATGTTGCATCAGTAGTAGTCAGCATTGTGGAGGAGGTGAGCAATGGGGCTGGCGTCCTAGTGAATGCTGTTACTCTGTTTTTGCAGCTGATGATGAGCCTTCAGTTGACTAAGATGACAATCAGTGCCTGTGCATTTCTTGAGGCGGAGGGACTTTGCCATCCAGCAACCTGAGAGCTAAGTTGGGGGGCACCTGGTATTTGCATATGTGGGGTGGCTAATGGGAGCTGGGAGGCAGAGCAGCATGGAGCCTGCTGGCTGAATAGACTTGGTGCCACTGTGAGGGTGGTTGAGGCTGGGTCACGTTCAGGCTGCTTGTGGCTGGGTCACCAGGCTAATAGAAGGAGCGGGATTATTTTGTAGTGTGAGTGCGTGCGCCAGGCAGGACAGTTTCCTTCTGTTCGTCTGTCCTGTAGTGTTGCTTCTGCAACGTCTGTTCTGTGCTTCTCGGGTCTTGATATCCTCCTGGCTTTTTAGACCGGCGACTTGGTAGCGGTGCTGAAGGGCCTCAATGCTTGTTTTGTCATCATGACTCTGATCTGAGCACTTCTTGTCTTGCAGTCGCTGCTTGAAGTGCAGATCTGTTTCAGGTCTTGTGCATCATACTTGGTTTGAGATCGCGTCTGTTTCTATCCTCACTCTTGCAGAAGTCATCTGGGCCATATCAGGAGCTCTTGCGTGGGAATTGAATTCCTAAGCATCGTCTTATGGGGTTTTCACTCCCCATCCTTCTGGTCTCTTGTCTTGAAGGCAGGCTTTTTAGGCCTCCATCATCCCAGTTCTGGCAGTTGCTTCCAGTCACGTGTCGTGACATTTGAGTCTCTCCTGGGGTCTGGTGCAGAGCACCTGTTCTGACTTGCCA